ATTTTGAAATATTTGGGTTCGACCAAAGAAAAGAGAGCTCGGCCAATTGACCCAGACAAAAAATAAGTAGAAATTCAAAATTGAAGTGGCCCAACCGAAAGCCCAAACCAAGGTCGCGGCCCAAACAAAATAATATCTAGATAAAAATAATTTTTGGATAATGATGAGATTTGGATAAAGTAAAATTTTAGTTGCTTAGATTTGGTGAAATTTAGGATGTATTTGTTTAGTATATTAGTTTGAAGTATTTTTTATGTGAAGTATGATAAATTATATTGATAATATAAAAAATAATATTTTGTATTGAATTGTTGACATTTCGTAAGAGAATAAATGATATATAATATTTATATTATGTGGATGAGTATATGTGTATATGTTATATTTTTTTATTAATATTCATCGAAACTTATTGTAAATGATTAGGATTAATGATCGAGTAACAAACATAAACGTAAAGAAGACACAAATTTATGTGGTTTATCAATAACGTGTTGGCTATGTCCACTGGCAGAAACGGAAAACAGATTTACTGAGGACGACTAGGTTATACAGATATCGATTTCTAATACAAATACCTAGATTGTATATCTCTAACTATATTAAAATAAATTAAGAGAATACATCAAACATGTTCAATTTAATACGAACTCAAAGGCCCAATACTACATACCGTCGGGCCGGGGGCCACTCCGCGCCCTTGGACCCCAGGCAAGGAGAATTCGCCGCTCGAACTCCCAGGCAAGCGAGATCCCATAAAAACTCAGCAAAGTGACAAATTATATTTAAAGCATATCAACAAAAATTATGTTGTTTGAGTGAACAAACTAGATGAAAAAAATTGTATATGATTAATTACACCTTTATATAAATTCATTTATAAAAGATTATGTTGATTTTTTTGATGTATTGAATTGGTAAAAGTTTCAAAAAAATTTTCCAGACACTTTGTTTTATTGCTCATTATAGTTTAACTTCAAAAATATCTTGTGTTGCTCGACTATGACAGAACCATAACACAAAAGAGGTCACATTTAAGCTCACAAAAATTATAAATGTGTAAGAATGATGGAATAAAACATTATTAAGAAAAGTGAAAATGATAAGTGTTTTCAAGTAATGACTTGGAAGAAGATGAGAATGAAGCCGAAGTTCTACTCAAAATAAATATTCTCTCAGTTCCAACTCAATATACTAATTTTACTATTTTCGTCTGTTCCACTTAAAAATATTTATTTTCTATTATAGTAAAAGTAATTTATATATAAATACCAAAATACACTAATTAATATACTACACATTTTCGAAAAAATTACAACATATTTTCCAAAAAAATTAATAAATTTTATGCACATTTATTATTTTATATTATCTATAAAATTCTATATACTCCACGTAGAAAAATTTCTTCCAAATCAAAATACAAAACAAACACATTTGCTATCCCCAATATAAAAGTTACATATATGGTAAACATAACGTAAAATTATTCATGTCTCTCCCCCTCCCTCATTTAAAAAATATTTTATTTTTATCCATATTATTTATCTTTTTTTTTCCGATATATATTATGATATATATTATGCTATGATGTTGTAAATATAAATTTTGATCTATTTTCTCTATTATTCAAATTTATTTTCATTCTTTTTATAAAATATAAAAGAAATGATAATAGATTTAATTGACGAAGATAGTATTACTTTCAGTATTTTATATTTTTGATCTATTTAAATAATCAATAAATTAGTCATTGGGGTTTAAATTCTACATAATTTAATTATAAAATGACACATTACAATAAATAAATATTCTCCCTTCGCTAAAAAAATTATATTTAGTTTTTGCATCATTGTATTTAATATTAAAAATATTTTTATATTTGTATAATTTTTTATACAAATATCATTATATTTATAATATAAGACACAAGTATTTTTTTTCTTTTTTCTTTTAGTTTATACTATATTTTGATATAATGATTAATATTCAAATATCATCACGAAAAAAAACAAATGTATCTCTTTTAGCGGAATGAAATGAGTATATTAATTATAATATGTGCAAAGTCAAACTGATTATTCAATAGTTTAAATATATAAAATAGGAAAAATTATTCATAACTCTCCAGTGCTTTCGAAATTCAGGGCAAATCTCTCATGTATTTTAATATTGCATTACGCCCCTTATACTTTGAAAATCGTTACGTAAAACCTTTTTTTACAATTTTTGTATGATGAAAAAATGATTTCTTACCTATATTTTTTTGCATGGTGGGAATTTAATGCAATGTTTTTTTAAAATATAATAGGACGCATGTAATGTTTAAAGTATATAAGTGTGTTTGTTTGGAGGTTTAGATTTTGAGTTGAGATTTGAATAATAAAAATTTTGAATTTGAATAATTATATGATGTGATATAAATAGGTGTTAATGTGATGTTTTGAATGTAAAATTAATTATTAGTATAATATAAAAAAATGATGAATAGTGTATTTAAAATCCAATCCCCAGTTTAAATTTCGAAATCATAAAAAAGTTATAAACACTTTTTCCAATAAAATATTTAAAACAAATAATCATACTATAGAATAATAATTATGTTTGGCACCGCCAAAGCTCGAAACAGCCCAAATTGGCCAAACTACTGTTACACTACGGGTGTGTTTGTTTGAGGATTTGGATTTTGTGTTGAGATTTAAATAGTGAAAATTTTGAATTTGAATAGTTATATGATGTGATATAAATAAGTGTTGATGTAATATTTTGAATATAAAATTAATTTTTAGTATAATATAAAAAATAAAAAATAAATATTTAATTTAATATTTTTTTTAGAAAAAAATGAGATGAATAATATATTTAAAATTCAATCCCCTACGTAAAAACACCCTACGTCTTATGTGCAATTGTATACATAATACTTTCTTGACCCGATTCAAGCTGGACCGTTATACATAATCAACTAAAATTAAAATTAAAAGTACAAAAATAAAAATAAAAATAAAAATAAAAAATTTTGGATTGAGATTGGCTCGGATCTAACGATTAAAATGTAATAATAATTTCATATTTGTCAATAACTAACGGTGAAAATTCAAAATTTTCTAAATATTAAAAATAAAATATAAATAAATAAATGCTCCATACGTCCCACGTGTGTGAAACATTTGAATTTTATCATCAGAATTTAAGTGAATAGTACTTCCTTCGCCTCAAAACTATAGTCTGAGTTATGTTTGACACGAGATTTAAAAAATATTAAAATTATATTGACAGTGGGTAAAAAGTACGGGTAAAAAGACTTTTTTGTCATTGTGAGTGTATTAGTGTAAAAAATAGTGGCAATTGTGTAATAATAATAAAAAAGTAAGAGTAGTTTTATAGTGATATGATTATTTATGGAAATGAGACTATTGTTTTAGGACGGACAAAAATGATAAACATGACTATTATATTGGGACGGAGGGAGTATTAAGTAGAATAATGAAAAATTAAGTATTTTGATGAGAGAAATGTATTTTTTTTTTAATTATTATTTGAATGATATAACTAATGAAATAAAATGTAATTAATTATCTCTTATTTTACAAATATTGCAAAATATGTACGACATACTAAAATGAAAAATATTGCTAAGTACGCAAAATGGAAGATATACAATTTAATCTATAAAAGTAATAGTCTTAGTACGTGTTTCTTTTGTCAAATTTTTTCAAATTTTATAATTTAAATTCATATTTTTTGAAAAAAGTAATAAAATTTTTCTTATAAAATATCTTATCAAATACTAATTTAATATTAAATCTAGAGAAAAAAATTTCAAACTCATTGAAAAAAACATATTAAATTTTTATATATATACATATTATTGTTGAAGGGTATTTGCTTTTTTATATCAAATAAAAAAAAAACCATTATTCGACATGTATGATTTTCAATAAAAATGTATTATTTATTTTTACAAAACATCAAGTTAAAATACTATTTTAGCTTAAAATAAAATCTAACAACAATGATGTTAATTCAATATATAAATAGTATTTCTTAATACCAAAACTAACTTGTTTTTCTTGGCATCATCCTCCATGAATTTTTTCAAGAAAATGTAATAAATAATTAATCCAAGAAAGTAGTATCTTTCTAAAAACAATAATGAAAACAAGATCTTGAACTAATAATCCATATTTAGAGTTCAACTTCCTTTCCCCTATTAGGGTTTTCAATTATGTGCTCATGCTCTTAACTTTTTTTTTTTTACATTATATATATATTGCTAAAAAAAAATCATGTAAAAGAAATACTCTCTGCGTTTCATAAATATAATATTGATATTATATTGGTAGTGGATAAAAAATATGGATAAAAATTTTTTTTGCCCTTGTGAGTGTATTAGTGTAAAAAATAGTGGCAATTGTGTAATAAAAAATAAAAAAGTATGGGTAATTTTATGGTGATATGGTTATTTATGAAAATAAGACTATTATTTTGAGATCGACAAAAATGATAAACAAGACTATTATATTGAGACGGAGGGAGTACGATTTTCAACATTATTCTATACAAAACATAGTACACCAAATATTTTTACTCCACAAAACAAAATTGCATATTATAAACCCATTTTAATTCGTTTTACATAATTTGTCAATTTTTTCTATTTTGGTCAGTCTCACACAATTTGTTGTTTTTTTTATAATATAATTATACATTTTAATCTCATCTCAAAATTCATAATTTATAATATTTTTTATTATAATTAAACTATTTAGTCATCTTAATTTTATTTTTATCAATACACTTTTTAATTACTTACTAATTACATAATACTCCCTCCCTCCCATAGTCTCGGTTGTCTTTGGCACAAGATTTAAGAAATATTGATATTATATTGATAGTGGGTAAAAAGTACGGGTAAAAGAATTTTGTCATTGTGAGTATATTAGTGTAAAAGGTAGTGGCAATTGTGTAATAATAATGAAAAAATAATGGTAGTTTTATAGTGATATAATTATTTATGAAAATGAAACTATTATTTTAGAACAAGACAAAAAAAAAATTAATTAATTAATCATGAAATTTCAAATTTATATCTTCAACAAAAATAAACCCTAATCAAACAACAGCACTTGGTTCCATGGAAGCACCTGTTCCAGGACTCATCAGAACCGTCGAACACCACGCAATCGACGCCGGAGATAAATCAAACCCTAAGGGGCTCACTGCACCAAACGTATCAAATCCCAATTTCCTCAGGCGGAGAGGCGGCGGCGCCACCTCCTGCAATCTCATCGGAATAAACTCCTCCGCCCCGGTGAGCTTCTGAACAACCTCCTTGAAATCCACCGGATCCACCTTGTACACCTTCTGCGGCTTCGCCGGCATAGGAGCTATCGGCTTCTTCCTAATAACATTCTTCGCCGGAAACTTGCCGATCGAACGGAGCGCCGCTCGGTACGCCGGCGCCGGATTTCCGGCGGTTTTCAGTTTCCGGCGGTATTGATAATTGCCATAAAGATACGAAGAGTCCATCGTGAATATATATGGAATTGAAAATTGAATTGATTTTGAGAATATTTTGTAATATGCAGAAACCCTAGAATTTGGGGGAAATATAGATACATGTATATGTATATATAGTGCAGCGGAGACTGATGGATGGAAGATTTGAATTTCAACGGGAAAGGTCTTATAGGGAACGCCGGCGGTGGTGGCGCAAAAGTTTGACCAATAAATCCTCTTTTCAATTTTATTTATTTATTTATTTTTTTTTTTTCTTATAACCACCGATGAAGGATTTTTATTTCTTAGTTAATATATATTGTAAAAAAAAAACAATTTTTTTTTAAAAAGTATACTCCCTCCTTCCACCGTAAGGTTGTCGTCGTAAATTTTTGAATATTAGTATTATAATAGGTTGCAGTAAAAAAAGATAAAAATATTCTTATTAGTATTGTGTAATATAAAAGTAATGGCATTTGTGTAATATAGTGTAAATTGGAATGATATTTATTATATTAAGTAGGCAGTACAATTACTAGATTAGAAAATAATAACTTTATTTTGGGACGGACGAAAATGAAAAATAACAACCTTTTTCAATGGGACGGAAGGAGTATTAAATATCTATAACCAAATTATAGAGTATTTTTTATTTTAATATGAATGCATGAAATTACTTAATGAAATCTTTTTAATTTAAATTAAAGTATTAACAATACTTTCATCATCCTTGTAAATACACCTAATTATTTAAATATTATACGAATAAAAAAATATAAAAATGTTTTAAATAATTTGTTTAAATAAAATAAATAAATAATTGATTAACTAAAGTAATTTTTTTTTGGGAGATTAGTAGTGAACTAATATTTACAAATGTATATAATAAATGTTTGACCAATTATTTATTTGTTTGTTTGTCTATTCAAATAATTCTAACATTTAATTTCTTTTTATTTGTACTATAACACATGTATACTTTTCTTATAGATTGTTTTGTACATATAATTTAATTTAATACAAAAAAATTTTACACAATAAATAAAATATAAATATTTTATACATTTATAATAAACAAGGTAATATCTCTCCGTCCCAAAATTATATTCGAGTTGTGTTTGACACATGATTTAAGAAATATTAATATTATACTGGTAGTGGGTAAAAAGTACGAGTAAAATACTTTTTTGCTCTTGTGAATGTATTAGTGTAAAATGTAGTGACAATTATGTAATAATAATGAAAAAGTAAGGGTAATTTTACAGTGATATATTTATTTATGGAAATGAAACTATTGTTTTGAAACAGACAAAAATAGTAAATAATATTATTGTATTAGGACGGATGAAATATAATTTACAATACATCTATTTACAATAAATTGAGTATTATTTCAATTTAATTTTGTTTTTTTTTTTTTTTTTTTTTTTTATGTAAATAGTTTCAAACTTTAAATAAACAGTATAATGATGAATTATTGAAGATAAGAAGGGTTGGCAGTAAGAATGGCAAACGGATATCGGGTCGGATTCAGGTTCGGGTCAGCTTAAACGGGTTATAAAACCCTTGACCTGATCCTGATTCATTTAATTAAATGGGTTGATATTTGCAACCTTAATATGACCTTTTATTAATCGGGTCAACCTGAATCTGACTCATATAACCCGTTTAAATTTAAAATATTTAAATTTTAATTTAAAATTACAATTTATATTAACAAAATTTTTAAATGCATAATATATATATATATACATATTAAAGCAAAAAATTATTTATTCATATCATGAAACCGATATTCAAGAATTCGAATTAACAAAAATTACATAATAGTACACAACACAATCCTTTATTTTTTATTGTTTATTTTTATAAAATTGGCCATAAATATTGAATTGTATTGATAAAATTTAAAAAATATATTTAAATTTAAAATAATATTAATTAAACAAGTTAGACGGGTTATTTTCAGGTCGAAAATGTAGACCTTAACCTGACCTATTTAATTAAATGAGTTAAACGAGTTTGACTCAATTATTAATTGGGTCAAAAATCTCAACCCAAACCCAGCTATTTCAGGCCAAGTTCAAGTCGGATTATCAGATTGGGTTAATTTTTGTCGGCCTTAGTTGGCAGCAAGAGTTACTAGGCTAGGCTCTGTTTGGTTGAAAATGATAATTTACAGATTTGCGCTTTTGGTCAGAACATTGTATTGTGCGATGATGTACTAATAATATTGGCTGCACAGGTTCTATTATATTTCGAAAATTTTGCAAAATATCGACCTACGGTAACAACTGCATATTATATGATTAATTTTGTATTATATGAAATTGATAAATAATAAAAAAGAATTATTAAAAAAATAGCTCTTAAAAATATCATATCGTATGCATTTACTTGATAATTTTTTGAAGATTTACTATTATTATTATTATTATTATTATTATTATTATTTCTTACTTTTTTTTGTTCATATTTATTTTTATAGCATCATACAATTATTATGATATAATTTTTTTATTATTTTTTAGTCATTCTTTAATTTATTTATTATTTTTATATTATATATTATAAAATAAAAAATAAAAAAGGTGGTGGGGTGGGTGGAGGGGGGGTTTGAATTTAATATTAAAATTTGAATAGTAAAATATTTAAATTGGAATAATTGTATGATGTGATATAAACAAGTATTAATGCGATATTTTAAATATAAAATTAATTTTTAATATAATATAAAATAAATAAATAAATATTTGATTTGATATTTTAGAAAAATATATTTGGTATGAATAGTAAAAATTCTTCAAATACTTCAAACAAAATACTCTCTTCGTCCCGAAATTAAGTATCTATTTGTTTTTTGCACGTAGTTTTAGAAATATGAGTATTATATTGGGATATAATAGGAATAAAGTAGAAATGACTAAAATAACCTTATTAGTATGTGTGATATAAAGGTAATGACATTTGTGTAATATATTGTAAGTTATAAGGTATTTGTAATTTTAGGTAAATAGTACCGTTACTAAAAAAAAAAAATGAATATCTTGTTATGAGGCGGACTAAAATGAAAAAAATAAATTTTTTGATATGGGACGGATGGATTATTAAAAATGCAGATATTTGTTGACTACACGATGAACATGCTGAAGTAATTTGGTTTGTTTGGACGTGTTTTCCGGAGGGTTAATAATATTTTCCTGGTCTCAATGGAAAATATTTATTTTTTTTAATATTAAATAATAATAATATTTTAATGATTAATAAAAATAATTTTGACATTTTGTCATTGTAAATAAAAAAGAAAAGATAACTGAATATTGATTAATTTTACTATAATAGCATATACGTATTGACAGATAAAAATAATATATTAAGTTGAAAGGCAAATTGTACTTTTTATATTTGTTGTTAAGGTATAAACTTGTAAATTTGATCAATTAAATATGAAATATTCCTTCCATTCTCTAAAATTATATTATTATTATTTTTTAATTTATTTATACTAAATAATTTTATTCACTCATAATTTTATTACTATTAATTTTAACAAATAATAATCAATTTGGAATTACTGTTTCTATTTATGCTTAGATTCTTTTTTTTTTTAAATTCTTTAAAATATTTTTTATAATACATCTATTTTATTTTTTATATGTCCACTTTAACATTAAAATATCATTATTTTATTTTTTATTTTTTAAGTCCAATCAAGCATAATTTTACTGAATAGATGAAATATTTATTTATTTTCTCGGTAAATTTGAATTTTAATGTATATTATAAATGCTTAAAAAATTATATTACTCTAAAAAATGATCAAATGAACTTATTGTAGATGGAAAGAAAAAAAAAATTTAATTCAAATATAGACTGTTGTAATAAAAATAAACATTTTATTTAATATTTAAATTACAAATTAAACTTATGTTTCCTTGTATTTTCAAAATTAACTTTATATTTCATCAAATTTATTTCAAAAATTATTACATTCCAAATTTATTTTTATGTAAAATTTATTTCTACGTAAAAATATGACAATCAATATAAATATATATATATTATAAATAATTCATAAATCAAATATGTTAGTTTATTTAAAATTTAAATAAATCTCCAACCATTGTAAAAAATTAAATATGTTCTTGATATCTTATTTTTTTAAGAAAATAGTAGGTTGGTATCGTGGGAAGATAGTATTGCCGAACTCTGAAACCCTTGAGAGGATGTTGCCAAACTCTGAAACTCTTGAGAGGATGTTGCCAAACTTTGAAACCTAGATGACTTTGCCAAACCCTGGCTCTCAAATAGCAATGGTGTATTATAATTTTTCTGAGAGTATATTTAATAACCCGTATGTGAGAGTATTTATAATTAAAAAAAATTACCGTCCATCACGATTTTTTTGCCACTTCTCACTTATATTTTGAATGTGATAAACTTGGCCACAATTTAAAATTAGTTTAATTATATAAAATAATTCAAAAATAATTAAAATTTAATTATGATTAAACTAACAATATATATTATCTAAGACAACTTATTTTATTATTATTATCACATTAATTGTAAAGAAAATTCAAAACAAACATATTCGTATAAAGATATCTAGAATAAAGTTCGCAGGGTATGGTAGCAGCCGCCGGACAATTGTTAATTATGCAACGATTGTTATGGTGACGTGGCATTGTTAATATGAATAGGCAATAAATATGGTTGAGTTTAGAACTCATTATGTGGCAGCGGCGGCGCGCTGACTGCGACTTTTGGTTTTGGACATCGACGATCGTGCTATACGATAAGCTTATACTACATTCTCCTTTCAAAAATACATATATTTATTATTATTATTTATTTATTTTATTGATAAAATATATTATGTATGTTTACAAAAGTCGATATTTTCGTTATTTGGCCGAGCATGATGTTCTCATAATCATTATCTCAAGCGCGACCAAAGGATATGAATGACGAATTTTGCAAGCATTTATGATATATTTTGCCAACAAGATAAATAATGACAAAAATGATAATTTGATATGGGTAGATAATATTCTTTTTGTAATTTTCCCAAGAAAATTATATAAATTTAGTTGGACATGAACTAAAAAATTATGATATTTTAATATTCTCTCGTTCAAT